AGTACGAAAACAACGTGTACCCAGTAAGTATCCAGTCTAATCTCGAAGAAGTAGTGACGATAGGTCGACTCCAACACTTACTAGGGCCAATATTATAATAATATGAAGTTCTAATTTATCATGATATGGAGAGGTGATAATAAAACTCAAAATAGGAAATACTGAACAATACTTCACCACATTTAAGAACTCACATTACTTCCCACATTTAAAACAAATTATCTCTCAAATAACGAAGCTATACCAATTATCAAAAGGGGCTTTCAGTTCTATTATCACACACAAAACTCCACCGAGGACGTTTAACCCGATCCAACATAAATATAAAATGTGCACTGCCGAGGATCGAACGACGCGAACCATAGATGCATCTATTAACCTGTTGAGGCAATTGGCCCACTCCCATGAGAGTAGTAGATGGAATTACCCCGCTCGGATCATACTTGCGATGCGGTCAAATATAAATTTATCGATAAATCATAACCCGTTCTTGATTCATTTCAAAATAAAGACAATTCAACTTGAAGCTTTTAAATCCTTAAAAATCCTCAACTTAGTTCCATTTGATAAAATTAACAAATATAATCAAGTAACAGTGTCCACAAAGCATGGCGTAAACCTAAAACTACCCAGACATTAACAGGAATAGTAGCTACATATGGACTCTCGCCACCTCGTTCTTACGTAGCCCCTCCACAAATAAAAACACATATTAATTAATTTCACCTATGGGGCAAATTCCCTCTTACAAGGTTAGAAAGGAGACTTGCCACGCTCCGAAGCTCCATAACCGGCTCCCAAGCCCTTCCGACAACTCAAACTGATGCCCAACACTCCAAAACTAGCCAATAAATGTGCAAATCCATAAAGACATACTCTAAGACTCATTATAATCCAATTTATAACAATTTCTAACCCCGACCTAAAAGTCGATAAAAATCACCCACGGGCTCACGTGCCCGGATTTCGAAAATTTTCGAAGATAAACTTTACCCACAATACTAAAAACTCAAATATATAATTTATTCCAAATTCCATGTCCAAAATAGTTGTCAAAATCCAAAAATACAAATTCTATATTTTTCCACCAAAACCCCAAATTTCAACTAATTTTCATGTTGAAATCCTCGTACAAATCATGTATTTAACTTATAATAAGTGGGGATCGCTTACCTTGTATTGCTTGATGAAAATCTCCCTTTGAAGCTCTCCAAAATCGCCCCAACCAAGTGGAAAAATTGGAGAAGAAGAGCCAAACCTCGGCCTTTAAACAATATGCCTAGCGACCTTTCGCACCTGCGGTCACTAGACCGCTTCTGCGGTTCCGCAGGTGCGGCCAAAAATTCCGCTTCTGCGGTCCTCCTCCAGACCCCTCAACTCCGCATCTGCGGCCCCCATCCGCTTCTGCGGCTCCACGCGCGTAGGTGCGGTCCGGCTTCTGCGGAACTCGACCGCATCTGCGGTCAAAGCCTTCTAAGCCGCATCTGCGACCCTCATGGTTGCTTCTGCTGCTCTGCACCTGCGGCCCAAACATCGCAGGTGCGGTTACACCAGAAGACATCAGCCTCAGCACCTCCATAAGGCCAAATTCAATTCGTTAACCATCTGGAATCCACCCGGGGCCCCCTGGATCCGTCCAATCACACCAACCAGTTCCAAAACATAATCGGACCTGCTCGAGGCTCCAAATAACATCAAACGATGGTAAAACCATGAATCACACTCCAATTCAAGCTTAATAAACTTTAGAATCGATGCCGAAACCTATCAAATCACGTCCGATTGACCTCAAGTTTTGCACACAAGTCACATTCGACTTTACGGATCTACTCCAACTTCCAGAATCGGAATCCGACCCCGATATCAAAAGGTCCACTCCCGTTCAAACTTCTCAAAAACCTTCAAGTTTCTAACTTTTGCCAAATGACTCCGAAATGACCTACGGACCTCCAAATCCACATCCGGACGCGCTCCCAATACTAGAATCACCATACGGAGCCATTCCCTGACTCGGAATCCCAAATGGATATCGATAACCTAGAAACGCACTTCAACCCAAATTTATGAATTTCTTCCAAAATACCAACTTCCACAATAGACGTTGAAACGCTCCCGGGTCATCCAAAATCCGATCCGAACATACGCCCAATTCCAAATTCATCATACAAACCTGCTGGAATCTTCAAATCCCGATTCCGAGGTCGTTTACTCAAAAATCACAACTTAATCAATTCTTCCAACTTAAAGCTTCCGAAATGAGAGTTCTCTTTCCAAATCGACTTTGAACTTCTCGAATTTCAATTCCGATCATGCGTACGAGTCATAATATCTAAAGTGAAGCTTCTCATGGACCGTCGACGCGCTAGAGCTCAAAATAACTGGTCGGGTCCTTACATCATGGCCCGAGTTCCTTATTCTTCAGCTGTCAAAAGTTTGATATATGCAATATATAGTATGCATTTGACCTGATATTGCTCACACAGACGGTGTTGTCATCAAGTCTCTTGGAAATGCCAAAAAAGAACACTTAAAAGAAGTCAAGTGGATACTCAAGTACCTGAGAGGCACCTCTGGAGATTGCTTGTGTTTTGGAGAATCTGATCCTATCATGAAGGGCTATACAAATGCCAATATGGCAGGTGACCTCGATAATAGAACATTCATTAGTGGATATTTGCTTACTTTTCCAAGGGGGGCTATATCATGGCAATCGAGGTTTAAGAAGTGTGTCATACTCTCTATAACTCAAGTAGAGTATGCCGATGTTGAAGATGGCAAGGAGATGATATGGCTGAAATGGTTCTTTCAAGAGCTTGGCTTGCATCAGAAGGAGTATGTCGTCGATTGTGACAGTCAAAGTGAAATAGACTTGAGCAAGAACTTCATGTACCATACAAGAACCAAATGCATCAACGAGAGATATCACTGGATTCGAAAAATGATAAAGAGTGAATCTCTACAAGTCTGAAAATTCACAAATGAGATTCCTACAGATACGCTGACCAAGGTAACAAGAGACAAGTTCAAGTTATACAAAGAACTTTATCGTCATGCACTCAAACTAAAAGTCAGATGTTACCTCCTTCATGAGAATATATAGGGGGGGGGGGGGGGGGGGTTGATGAGGTCCATACCCATATAAAAAAAATGTTATAGGTACCAAATCTATTTTGGACAGAACGATTTTGGTGGTGGAAGAATGCATTTGCAAAGTGCAGAAACCAGTTCTGATTGATTAGCTTGGCCAACAACTTTGGCTATAACTAGAGACGCTTCTTTATTCATTCAATACACCATCTTAGAGAGAAATATATCTGAGAGTTAGAGCGCAATGTGAGATATTCATATACAGTGTAGTAAGAGAGTGTGAGCAATATTATAATGAGGTGAAAATCTCAAAAGAGGGTTATTTCTTTTGAGTGTGTAGTTGTCGCTCGAATATTTTACTCGAAACTATGGAGTATAAAATTCCTTATTGTAGTGGATTACTTGCTCCTCTCGGACTCATGGTGTTTTTCCTTATTTAGAAGGATTTTCACGTAACATTTTTTGTGTTCTTGTTATTCTTGTTGATTACCGTATGTCAATATTGCATTATTATTCTGTTGTTATTACCGTGAATATTATTCTTTACGGGGGATTTATTACCTACAGGAACTCAACAACTTCATCCATGGATTCTCTTTTTTTATCAGGCACCTCTGACTTTGACCATTATCTGCACCAACCACTGCCATGCGATTTTTTCACTAGCTTTTGTATAAGTGCTCATATAAAAAAATGACGTGCTATTTTGTACATCATGCTTCTTTATAATTTATTATTTAAAAAATGACCTTTTTAAATCTCTTATGTGTAAAAGACTAGATCTCGTACGTGTAAAAGTAAATATCCCATGTGTAAAAAAAAGATAGTGTTTTAAAAGTAAAAACAAGTTTGTAAAGAGCCACATTACCAATTGACCCGTGACAGTTTGAAAAAAAAAAAGCAGAAAAAATGAACAACTTATCTAAGTCCTTAATTAGGTATCACTCGTGAAATTTATCGGTCCTTGAAAAGTTGTAACTCTTTCGTGTAAGAATAAACTTTTATTCATACCAGGATCTTGAACATGCTAATCTTACATATAATTGTTATAGAAAACATACCTGAAGCGGAAGCCATTATCATGAAGCGGAAGCGTTAATTGAAATTGATTTTTCGTCCCTTGCCCTAGCTTTCATTACTTCCGCCTTTAGTGATGGAAAAGAAGAATAGAATAGGTGGTAACCCTAATGGGTGGGGAGATGACCAATTTATAGAGGTTCTCACTTAATCTAGTACGTTCATCAAGTAACCGATCGGACGAACAAGATTTGTCATTAATTAAATATTAATTATGGGCCTTAAGTTTATTAGGTCACAAAAATAATTAGATAAAATCTAACATTGTCCCACTTGGCCCAATAATCACGTAACATTAATATTTAATCTTATAAACATTAATTGCGCATAAACAAATCTCTTCTATAATGTCGATTATAAATACCATAATACGACAAACTACTAAATTTGAGTTATGGCGGTTATATATTATTTGTCTACATACTCCCTTTCATATACTATAATATTAGCAACTCATCGTACCAGGTCCATAAGCTATAAAATATTATGGTCCACAATAATGTCTCATTGAGACTTATCCTGTAATATCTCAAAACAATAATGTGTCAAAACATCATAAATATATCAATTATAAATACAGCCAAGACCCACTCTATGTACATGTTCTTTAAATATCTTTGGCTGTAAACATTTTGTTAACGGATCTGCAATCATGAGATCAGTTCTAATATGCTCAAATGACACTCTTTGTTTCTGAACGTCCTCCTTGATGGTAAAGTACTTTAATTCCATATGTTTGGCACCTTTGGAGTACTTATCGTTCTTGGAGAAGAAACTACTATTGAATTATCACAGTAAATTTTTAGCGGCTTGGTAATGGTGTCAACAACCCCAAGTCATGAAATAAAGTTTCGCAGCCATAATGCATGAATTGTGGCTTCAAAACATGCCACAAATTCTGCTTCCGTCGTGGATGTAGCAATGACAGACTGTTTGGCACTCTTCCACGATATTGCTCCTTCAGCTAATTGGAACAAATAACCAAATGTGGACTTTTTAGTGCCAATACATCCAACGAAATTTGAATCCGAGTATCCAACAACTTCCAAATGTTTGGATCTCCTGTACATGAGCATGAAATCCTTCGTTTCTTTCAGGTACCTCAAGACTTTCTTAGCACCTTTCTAGTGATCAATTCCTGAGTTACTCTGATATCTTCCCTGCATTCTGACCGCAAAATTAATATTCGGTCTTGTGCAAGTCTAAGCATACACCAGACTACCAACAATAGAAGAGTAAGGAACTAATTCAGTTTCTTTTCGTTCTACATCATTCTTAGGGCATTGCATGAGACTAAATTTGTCCCATTTTTGAATTAGAACAATTCCTGCTGAATAGTTGTTCATGTTAAATCTCTCTAGAGCTCTTTCGATATAGCTTTTCTAAGACAATCCCAATAATCCTTGTGATCTATCACGGAATATTTCTATTCATATCACATAGGATGCCTCACCCATATCTTTCATTTCAAAATTCTTAGAGAAAGAATCTTTAGTCTCACGCTATATGCCTAAATCATTAGCAGCAAGTAAAATATCATCAACATATAGGACTAAAAATATAAACTTGCTCCCGCTGATCTTTTGGTATATACACCGATCAACGGTATTTTTCACAAATCCAAAAGATGTTATGGTATCATTAAATTTTATATACCATTGTCGTGAGGCTTGTTTAAGTCCATATATTGACTTCTTCAGTTTACACACCATCTGACCTTTTCCTTTAGTTTCGAAACCCTCTGGTTGGTCCGTATAAACTTCCTCCTCGAGGTCTGCATTAAAAAGGACAGTTTTCACATTCATTTGGTGTAACTCTAAATCATAATGAGCCATCAAAGCCATAATAATTCTTAACAAGTCTTTCTTTGAGACCGGTGAAAAGGTCTCTTTATAATCGATGCCTCCTTTCTAAGTATAACCCTCAGCAACAAGTCTAGCTTTATATCGTTCAATATTGCCATTTGAATCGTGTTTCGTCTTAAAGACCCATCTACACACGATTCTTTTAGAACTTTCTGGCAATTGAACGAGATCCCAGACTTTATTGTATTACATGAATTTTAACTCTTCCTTCATGGCATCGATCCATTTGTCAGACTCATTACTTTTTATGGCTGGTGAAAATGGAACCGGATCCTTATTAAGACCAATATCAAAATCTGACTCTAGTAAATAAACCACGTAAATAGCCGATTTCTAACTCTTTGAGATTTTCTTAATTGCATTTATTGTGGTTCATTTGTGTAAGATATTTGTGAGTTAGTTTCTTCACGAAGTGTTACGTCCAAATGTTGCTTGGTGTTGCCAAAGTGTTCTTCAGCAACTGGAATAATATTTGGTATTTGTGTGGAAGTAGGCACATTCATGGGTAATGAAACATTGACCGTCACCTCTTTTATTTTCACTCTTTATGTTTCAGCACTCCCACTAACTTCGCATCCTCAATGAATCTTGCATTATCGGTTTCAACAATTCTCGAACTATGGTTTGGACAATAAAACACATACCCTTTTAGATTTCTCTGGGTAACTAATAAAGTAACTACTTATTGTTCGATAATCTAATTTCTTTTCTTGCGTATTATAAACTCTAGCTTTCGTTGGGCAACCCCAAACATGTAGGTGCCTTAAACTAGGTTTCCTCCCGTTCACAGTACAAAAATAGTCTACGGAGCTGGCTTACTAGGAACCCTGTTTAATAAATATATAGCGATTTTAAGAGCATACATCCATAATGATTTGATTAATGAGGAATTACTCACCATGCTCCTAACCATATCCATAAGTGTTCGATTACGCCTTTCTGCAACACTATTTTGTTGAGGTGTTCTTGGTGTAGTATACTGTGCACATATGCTACGTTCCTCGAGGAACTTTGGAAATGGACCTAGACATTGTCCCGATTCATTATATTTTTCATAATATTCACCACCTCTATCTGACCTAATAATTTTCACCTTTATATCTAATTGCCTTTCAACTTCATTAACAAACACTTTGAGAGCAGCTGTTGCTTGAGATTTCAGTAAATAGATGTATCCATAACCTGAAAAACCATCGATAAAAGTGATAAAATATTTCTCTCCACAAAAATATGGAAAATCAAAGGGTCCACAAATATTGGTGTGTATAATTTTAAGAAGTTGGGTGCTTCTCGTGGCACCTTTCTTACTATGCTTGGTTTGCTTTCCCTTAATGCAATCCAAACATATATTAAGATCAGTAAAATTTAAATTCGGAAGAATCTCATTATTTTGCTAATCTTTCTTATATTTCTTTGGATATATGGCCCAAACGTCTATACCCCAAGTAAGCAGAACTTTCATCTAGTGAACTACGTTTAATTCTAGCACTATGTTGAACAGTAAGAAGGGATTAAGAAAAATCAATATCGAGTTTCAATTTATATAAACTATCGCTAAGAAAACCAGAACCATAAAAATTAGCATTCTTATATAAATTGAAACACCCATTTCCAAACATTAAATCAAATCCAGAAACATCAAGTTTTGAAAGAGAAATCAAATTCCTAGAAACTGAAGGTACATAAAGAGTCTGTAATAGATCAAGGTGACGTCCAGTCTCCTGATCAAACGATAAATCACTATGCCTTCAATTGGAGCTTCCATACGATTTCCCATGAACAAGAAATCCTTATTTGGATTCGTAATTTGGATCGTAAGGAATCCCTACAACGTAGTAGATACATGAGCAGTTGTACCAGAATCACGCCATCAAGTATTATTAGGAACTTCTACTAAATTTAATTCGAAACATACAAAAGCACTAATAGTACCTTTCTTTTCGAACCAAGCTTTATGTTTCAGGCAATTTTTCTGATAGTGTCCTTCCTTGTTACAGAAGCGACACGTATCTGCCTTATGTTCCTTCCTAGCATCCTGTAGAGCTTTAGCATGTGCTTTCTTCTTCTTGAACTTGTTGGCCTTCACTTCAAGTTCAGAATATACTGAGCCAAAAAGGAGTTATCCACTTTCATCCCCAAGGTATGAAGTCTTGCTGCAATGTTAGTCATCTCGATGATATGATTTTGCAGACTGGGCGACCCATCAAAATTCATGGTCGTGAGTTCAGCCACTAGTGTACCAGTGAGAGACTTAGCTGCAGAACGAAAACGTTCTTCCACAAATTTTGGTTTCCCTGGCACTTTCTGTCTGTGGAATAGTACTTTTAATGTTGTTGGCAATAGTCATTCGCATAAATATAAGGCTCAGCTTGTTAGAGCGTTCCCATGCTTTATGGAAAAATTACTCATCCGCACAACTCGAATCATTATCAGTAACGGCAGCGGATTTATCATTCAGCAAAGCTAAGTCAAGATCCATCACACCTAAGTGAAACTGGACTTGTTCATGTCATTCAGAGAAGTTCAATCCGTTGAACACAGTTACGAACGAAGCATGCGAATGAAGAGGAATAGCTTCAAAATAGATAATACATGCTCACAAATCAATATGGATTCAGCAAAACAGTTAAAAAATATATCGCAATTCTCCTTTGGGTAAATACTACGATACACTATCACAATTTAAATGCTATTTAGTCTTTAATAGGTACTTAAATATTTCTAACCAAACATATATGACATTTTTGTGCTGACAATATATATTTGACTAAAGAATATTAATTTACCTCATCATATTCACTATTCATAGAATAATTAATCTACCATTGGGTAAATCCTTAAGTTCTAGCAATAATGAAAATTAATTTATCCACTAATTTTCAATTATAGGCATTTCATTAATTTCATGGATAAACTACAATTTTATGTATGCATATTTTTCATAAACATAATAGTTTGGCCACTTTGGCGACTAACAAACTATATAAACATAAATGCACACATAAAATAATTATCAGGAAATTTTATTCATCTGAATATTTTAAAACATTCTAGTTTGATCATTTTTGTGACTAACAAACTATATAAACATTAGTACATGCATAAAATAAACATGAATTTAATGCATGTGTAAATGTTAAAGATTCTATATAGCTTTAAAATAATATACATCAGTTAATAGCTTTCATTATTGCACATTGTGGGAAGTAAGGACAAATCATTACATAATATTCAAAATTATGGTCGAGAACTTAGAGATAAAACTTTACCACCTTTGTTTTTCAACGTAATGGGCTAAATACCTTTACATATTTAAACATTGTACAAAGTTCAATGCACCATGCCACTAAGTTCAAGTCCTTTACAAAAATCTTTTTTTTTTTTCGATGCACAAATATAATTGTACGCCTAGTCTCACGTCACTAAGGTAAGCACAAATACAAAGACAGTCGTTCTCTTCGTCGGTGTACAAAACCAGAAACCATAAAGCTTTACTACTTTTATAAAAGTATGCATCTTTCTAATCGTTCTTTTGAGGATTGCGATATTCAAAATTCTTTTATGAAGATTAATTGTTCAAACAATTCGGGCTCATGATACCATATGTAAGCATAAACTTTAGTTCATACCAGGATCTTGAACATGATAATCTTATATAATCGTTATAGAAACATACCTGAAGCGGAAGTCATTATCACGAAGCGGAAGCATTAATTGAAATTGGTTTCTCATCTCTTGCCCAAGCTTGGGAGAGGACCAATTTACGGAGGTTCTCAGTTAATTCGGTGCGTCCATCAAGTAACCGATCGGACGGACGAGATTTGTCATTAATTAAATACTAATTACGGGCCTTAAGTTTATTGGGTCACAAAAATAATTAGATAAAATCTACCATTCCAACAATATGGAATTCATTAGCCGGTTGAGAGTGTAAATATATTTGATGTTGCTTGCAGTTTTGCGATGAAGGCAATCCTCTGCTCAGTAAGTTTTTCGAGGAAGTACTTTCGGAAATTTCTTCTTTTGGGTGGCTGGTTGATAATAAAATAGATATGCATGAGATGAGCTTTTGTAAAAGAGAGCAATTACGGGTAAGTATCGGTGAGTTACTTTCCCAATTAATTTGCCTATAATCTTATTTCTTTTTAGTTGTTTGTCCAGATTTTCTTACCATAATTGATTTTCCTATCTCATGAAGGAAAGGACAACATATTTACCATAATTGGAATTTTCTTTTCCAAGAAGGAAAATATAATTCTTCCATATTTGGCTAGTCCTTTTTCTTGTAGGAAAAGGTTTGGAGTTCTGTAAATTGAAGATCCGTCCTTCTCATTCAGTAGCATCCACAATGTAGCCATAGGGGGCTTGAGAGTCTTGTTTAGGGGGAGAACTTTACGAGACAAGTGTTAGTGTATCGCTTGTGTTTGCCTCTTCGTGAGGTTATTCTCTCGATATTTTGTACTCTTTTTTATTATAGTGGATTGCTCTTCTCCGTCGTGGACGTAGGTCAATTGACCGAACCACGTTAAATATTTGTCTCTTTTGGTAGATTTCTCTTTTGTTGTCTGATTTATCGTCGTTGAAGGTTTGCTTTACTAGCTTCCGCATGACACCTGACTTTTTTCGATCCTAACATTTCTCACCCTAATTTAGCCTATTTCGTATTTTGAAAGTTTTTTTTACTTATTAACAGGGTACTAATTTGAGAGTGATATGTATCATCACATACTTAAATATTATTGGATGAATTAAAGTAAATATCATATTTTTCGTGGAGATTAGAATGAAAAGTTGTTGTTTATTGTTAGTACTATTTTTTCTGACATAATCACGAAGCAGAATTCAAGGGGACTAGAGTCGAGAATGTGAAGAAACAAATGTGACACTATGCTATTGCAGTACTTAAAGTATGTGAAAATACTTCATCTACTTATGCACATACAAATTATACACTGCCATTGCTACAAATCACAAAAATATATACTCCTATTTGAATACAATTTATAACTAAATATCTCAACATGAAATTATCATATAATCCTTAATTTTTCCACGAGTTGCGACAGTGATCATGAGGCGTCCACTGAAACTTGGATGTTTCATTGGCAGGGGAGCTCATAAACCTCTTCCAATCATGAATCACTGCTATCAAATCAGCCATTTTAGCACTAATTCTTCTGCAACAGTTGGAGTGAACAGTCACAACGGCCCTAACATCCTTACTGTTTTGACAAAACCCGCTGAAATAAACAGTGTCTAAGAACCTCACTTTAAGGCCTAACTTTCGAAATTCTCCTCCGCGCATTAGGTTTTGCAGAACGTCTTGTTCTTTTAATCCAGTAGAATTGTTTTTCTTGGCGTACCACGCATCAAACAATGAAATGGTTTTGTTGTTTGATCTGATCATGTAAAAGCCTGTGTTAATGAGATTGGCCTCGGACCATTGGTTGCCGTTGAAGTTGTCTGTACTGATCTGCAAGTCTATGGTTTTGTTGTGGCTCAACTTTGGGAATGGATTTCTTAGCCATAACACATCAGTGTCCTGTGAGCAAAAAAGAAAGAACCAGCTAATTTAGTTTGGCAAATATAGTTTGAATGAACAAGACTTAATTTTAACTTTTGTGTTTGTTACCCAAAAGTCACTTTTTTTTTGTTACATAAAAATCATTCAACTTTGTGTTCATTGCACAAAAGTCACTTTTCTTTCTTTTGTTATACAAAAATCATTTTACTTTGCTCTAGTTATCACAAAAGTCACATTTTTGCTTGAAAAGTCTATTATATAAGCTTTATATTTATGTAATACCTTCTATATTATATACTATATAATATATTTTTAACTAAGTTATTTATAAATAAAATAACTTAATTTTATTTTAATAATATATTCGTATATTTAATTTTTTTATTAACATTAATTTTCAAAATATATTAGTTGTAGTATTAAATTTGTCAGTAACTTTAATATATAATATTAGTAGAGAAATAAAACGGCAAGTACATTTCCGTCAGGTAAACAAACAAAGAAAATGAGGAAATAATCATATGTAAATCTGAAGGAAAATCCCTAGGTAACTCTATATGCGAATTTAGCTGGGGATATTTTCTTGGGAATTTATCTAGACAATTGGTTATTTGAAAATTATACTACTAAAAATTCGGGAAAAGCCGTCCAAAAAAATCGACCAAAGTTGGTCGGTAATGGCCAATAACCGTCCAAAACGCGTACGTGTAGTCGGTATTTTGAAGGTCGGAAGGGCACACCGACCAAAGTTGGTATCGTTCAATTAAATTCAAAAAAAAAAAAAATTGTTGAATTCGCATATAGAGTTACCTAGGGATATTTCTTTAAAAAAAAAAAAAATAACGTTGTTAGATGTAGTTTTCAACAAAAAAGCCATCCAATTTCCGATGTATATATAATGAGACATACCGTGAATATGATGTTATAACCACGTTTTAGAACGTCGCCTAAGAACCGGGTTCTTCGCCACATCATCTTTATAAAATCTTCAGACATATACAATTTCTCTCCGACGAAATCAACACCGTCCGTTTGGAGCTTATAGCAATGGAGTCCAAGAAACTTGCACCTTCTATACGACGTTTGATCCATCGCAACGATCAAAAGGTGTTTGATTAATTTCGCAGTGCCTTTCCCAAGCCAAAAACCATCCAAAAAAATATCTAGCATCGGCTTATCTCCCTCCACATATGCTTTATTTACAATTGCAATAATTACCGTCTTGTCCTTCGTTGCAGCTCCCGCTAATGCTTCTTCTAGCTTATCTCCATATATTTTCATGTTAAACTACACAGAAAAATAAATCAATTGGGAACTGAAAATTAGAATCACCGTAATTAAAGAATAATTAAGCATGATTACTTACTGTTTTTGAAGTTTGACAAACGGAGTTTTGCGTAGGAAATAAAGCAAAATTGCTGATGTTACCTGAAGAGCCTAAGAGGAGAATAGATAATAAAACTAAAGTTAGAAGTGTGTACACAATATAGTTATAGTATTCATTGATGAGATTTTTGAAATTCGTATTCTTCAAATCCATAATCTGCTCTATAGTTTTGAGTGGCGATCCAAATTAATTAATGAAATAGAGAGTGTTGTAGAGGAAGAGGAAACATTTCATAAAATTGTTCAAGTGTTAAAAGGGGATGACTAGTCGTGTGACTCTTCTAAACTCCAACTAAAAGTCTACTTGCTTACCATTGCTTTTGTACTTCTATTTGAATTGTTCAACTTCTTAACTATAGTTGGGAATCCTAATAACCTACGAAATTCATTCTTTTCAATTTGGGTGTACTAAATAAATTGTTTATTGAAATACTAGTTTATGATACGCGCTTTGTGTGTGTACCCATGTCAATTATTATAGAACTTTTTAAACAAACGTATAAATATTATTAAATATAATATGTTTGTATGAAAGAACAAAAATTAAAATATAAGTTTCTAAAAATAATAAATCATGATCCTTCCACCTCAATGCCCCAAGCGTATGCCTAGTATGCGCCCAACGCCTTGCGCATAAGCTCGTTCCAATGTTCTTTTGCAATCGATCATCTGTAATTATGTTTGCATGTAGATCATTGAAAATCATTAACAATCCATTGAGCCGTCAAAAACTTTCTTTAGTAATCGCATTTCAAAATTTGAGAATATAATACCGCGCCGCGAAAGTGAATTTGATAAAACCTTTCATCCAAAGTTCTAATTCTTGTCAGGTCTTCAATATTTGATTACTTATATTTTTCTTCAAATTTATTTTTTATGTTATTTTGTTTGACAAATAATTTTTTTTTTGTGGTTTACGAAAGTTATTATTTATTAGTTAGTATTAGTGAGTCATAATGTTATTTTAGTAATGAATTAACGTATTAGATTGTCTGTCAAATTATTAATAGCTTATTAGAATCACACGATGGTAAAATATAATATATAATTGTGAATTATTCCTCTAAGAATAAATGTTGTTTTCTAATTTATTTAATTCTTAACTTGGTTGCCTCTCAAAACATGTCAGTAAAGGAGACATTAGTCTTTAATTTACCTTTTTTTTCATTTACTTCTCGCCCAAATCAATATAATGGATTAAAGTTATAGATAGTCAAATATAGAATATACTTTAGTGGTAAACTATTTTTTTTAAAGAAAATAATTATATAAATTTGATGTATATAGAATAGTGCAAATATTTAATTTGGAAGATTACTGTACATTATATGGAATCTTAACATGCTTTATCAAATTTATAAATGCACGTTCCTAGTTTGTAGGTCTGAAAAAGTAGAAACAAATTATTATAAATGAATTGTTTGATCTATACAAGGTCAAATTTTAATTGATTTGATGTCCTAAATTTTAGACTTATATGTAACCGTTTTAATAAGAAAAACTTTAATAAGTAGAATTTTATTTGATTTAAAACTTCTAAATGTTATGAGATACATTAAATGACGATTTTGTCCAATATAAAATTAAATTTTAAACGTAAAAAAGCAAACGATATGTCACTAAAGGCCTTCGTGCTTTTAATATAGTATAAATATAAATATAGATATGTTATTTGTATCTAAATAAAGTTCAAGATATTTTTAAAAGCTTGTGAAAAGTATATACCGTGTGATAGAATTATTGCATTTTTAAAATATCATAAAAGAATATAGAATGTTCTGTCAAAAGATAAACGAACTTGACTTTCTTCTAGTAGGAACACAATTAAACAGGATATTCTATGCAGGATTGAAAGCTTTTTATCATTTATTATTTATACGGAAAGGTCTGTTGTTGGTTGTTGTCGTTAAAGTGACATTGGCTCAAAATTCTGCGTCTGGTGATGATATTTTGTTGAACTGTGAAGGTCTTGACGGTCTTGAAGACGCCGATAGTCGAAAACGGGGTTTGGATGTTGGGTCAACATATTTGAAGGGTAGCAAGTCGTGGGGTAATAAAATAGGATTGGGGTTTATTTTAATAAGGTACTGGATCGGGTCGGTTTAATAAAATAAGGTTGATGGGTCGGGTTAATTTATTTAAATTAGGGTATAGATGGAATGCACCAGATTGTGGCACGTGTCAAAATCTGATGCTATACATTTTATTAGTGAGGTCTGTCATATGCGAGCCACTTTATACGCGGCAACGATAGAATTGGGTTCACATTTTAACGACGGGCAAATATGTATAGTCCACTGCCATAAATGGACCTTTTCCGTTATTTATATAAATGTTAGTGTCAAAGGGCACGGCCAAGGAGTAGAGATGATTAGCTTCCATTACTAAACATAAAAACATTTAAATCACGATGTAGGCAGAAACCTAAAATATGTATGAATATTCAAATATAGTGGTCAAATCAATTATTAACTTAAACTACTTGGGTTGGGTTAGGGAATATAGCATAGATTTAGGAACCGTTTGGCCATAGAGATTTTGCCAAAATAAATTTGGATTTTATTTGGCTAATACATATTTGGTCATAGATTTTGCTTACATTTTGTCAAAATCACAAATCCTAAAACCAGCTCAATAGCTAGTTTTGGGCCAAATATCACTATTATATTTTTTTAAAATTACCCCAAACTTTTGTATTTTTATAAAAGAGTCCACCATTTATTATTTTGTAACAATGTTGTTTCGTCTTCTCGGTCATCTGATAGTATATCATGTAGTTCATTATAAAAATGATAATTTTGTACATTATTTATGTTCAGGATTATGGTTTGCGATAATATAATGAATGTTATTGATAACGGTACTGTTGGGTATTTGTGATAGTTTTAGAACTTGTGGGTATAAATCATGTTTCATGTTTTTCCAAAATAAATTTGGGAAAAATATTTTGAAAACTAATGTCCAAGCACATTTTTATTTTCAAACCAAACTTCACTCAAATTAGATTTTTCAAAACAAATTAAAATACTAAGGCCAAAAGCTAGCTTTGTAAGTTGTACTGTAAAAGAGCGGCCTCATCCTAAGTAGTCCCAACTCCCACTGGCCTAATTCCTATCATAACGACTTACTGATTATACTAACTTGTTTAGTCAAGCTTTTGATAAATTATAAGTATTTATTTCTCCTTTTAAAAAAAAACTTATTTTGGAGAGTTATGATGTTTCGCCAAGTTTTTTATATGGAGCAAGTAATTTTGAGTAATATCATAACTCATAAGTTATTTTCTATTCTGGTGAAGAAGTCAATTAGAAATAGGAGCAAAAACTGTTGGCATCAGGATTACAAAGAATGAAATAAATGATGGTGTGTTGCAGAAAACTCGAAGCTCAAATGAAGAAGACGACATGAAGTCAAAAGAGCATTTGAAACAAAGTCAGAATTAATGAAAGAAGGGTTTCGGACTTTACAATGTCGGAAAGGATAATTATATATCCTTTTGATCTCCACCGTTGATTTCATGTTTTGATTGATTAAATCCTTATCGTCAGATTTAGCTAAAGATCTTCACGGATGTAAAATAAATCCTCTGCTATTTCTAGAAGGTTCTTGTACTATTGTGAATATTTAGGATAAGTGTAAATAATATTCCTTTCCTAGTTGGTTATGCAGTTATTCATTAGCTAATAAATGTAGGACAAGTGTACAAATAGGAATGGGTCTGCTATTTCAATTGTTGTATATGTTGATACCCAATTTTTCCCTACGCATATATGAGCATACCCAAGTTTTGGTACTTTTTCCAAAATTTAAATGATTTTTAAAGCAATTTATTGCCTATTTTAATACCACAAAATCCAATAATTATTCCACAAATTATCATTTTTTTGGTGAATAACTTATTTCATTCTCATATTTACACAAAAATATAATTAAGGTGATTTTTGTACATTTTTACAAATTTATTTGGTATTTTTTAGAGCTAAATTGCGTGTAATTGCAATTATAGCCTATTTTACGGTTGATAGCATTTTATAGCTACAAAAATTATTTCCAGTATTTTTTAAATTAATATTTATATAGTATTTGTTGGCCCAGTATTTTTAATTTGCTTTTGAAATCATTATTATTATTTTTATAAAATAAAAAGGGGAAAATTGACTATTTAACACTTAGCCTATTTCTATTTCAATAACAGCCCTTCCCCCCTTTCAATTGTAGCCTTAATCTGGCCCAATTCCGCCCCCAAATTAAACGACCCAATTCCTAAAATACCCAACCCACGACCCGTTCTCAAACCCGCCCGGCTTTCTTTTAAATCTGAGCCGTTGATCATTTTGATCAACGGCCAATATCCTTCCTTTCCTTTTTTAATCACCCAACCCCTCTAACCCTAGGTCATTTGCACAAAGGCACCGCCCTTGAAACCCCTCATCTCTGAAACGCTCTCTAACCTCTCCTAAACCCTAATCACCTCCCGCCTTATCTCATCTCATTCCCACCGGAATCCATGGCGTCTCCAGCCATGGATGGCCTGTGCTCACCCTCTATCACCCCTGAGCCTAAGCTACTCAAGGTTTGGAGGCTTGACCTCGATGGTCTCTTTTCAGATCCATCTCAGATCCATAGATCTATGGTTTTCCGGCCACGCTCCGGCATGTTCAAGCACTGGAAGCTTGATTCCTGACCGTTTCGACTCAGGATCTGATCTTGTTCTTCCAAGCCTTTCTCGTTTCTAGGGTTTCTCTGAAACCCTAAGCCATTCGAGGTTCTTTCACCGTTATTTGTTTAGATCTGTGCTATGTCTATGTTCTTCTTGACGTTTTGAGTGTTTTCCCCAAATTTCCTTTTCAAAAATCGTTTGATTTCAAATTAGGGTTTCTGAAAGTCTTTTGATTCTTGCTGTTCTTTTCTTTTAGATGTTTGTCTGTATTATGCTCGTATGTTTTCCTTCTCTATTACGCATGTATTGTCCTTCTTTTCTTTTATATGTGTGCTCACATGATTAATCTGTGTTAAATTTTCCTCACTCTTCTACCATGTGTGTTTACTACTGAGTTTCTTGACTTTTGCTTTCCTGAACTCTATTTGTGTTCTTGTTAAGCATGTTTCGTCTATTCTGGACTTGTCTAAGTTCCGAGTTTCCAAAAAGTGTCCTTTTATGCTCTCAAATCGATTTTCTTTCTCTGATTGTTTCAAACCTGCTATCATGGTATGTTTGTTTCTCATGAGACTCCTTGAGTC